GGTAAAGGTAGTCTCAGACTTTAAGGTTTAGTGCTACTACTCTGCAGTGCTCTATCTTTCAAGTGAGAAATGATACCAATTCTAAATCTGAATCTGCAAATTTTTTTTCATAGCACTGTCACACAAGTTTATCAGTGATAATAACATAGAAGTTTATTATTAAATTGTGAGAGTGAGTAGGGTGCAGTGTTTGAGACTATGGTGATGAAAGGCATCTCTTGTGGACCAGTACTTTACAAGGAAAATGTATTTGTTGCCAAACTTCAAAATCATCCATCCAAACTTAAAGGCTAGGTAAGCGCAGGTGATGGTGATCCTGTTCATGAAAGAAAAGGAATAACACCTGACTTTGGCTGCTACAGGTGGCTTGTACATTCAGAACAGTAGACACTGCACTGACTCTGCTCACCAGGTGGACTTGAGAAGGTATCCCAAAGGACTGTGTATGATCGCAGAATCATTTTGGCTGGAAGGGACCTCTGGAAGCCAGCTAATCCAACACCCTGCTCCAAGCAGGCTCAGTTAGATCAGGTTGCTGCTTAGCCCTGTTTTAGTCTTTTTTGAGTTGTGTAACTTAGTATCACTTAGTTCAAGTCTGCCAATAATATGCCTTGAAGGCTGACTGGAAAATGAGATTTTGCAAGAAATAAATGTAATTATAACTTAGTTTTATTAATTCTTTTTCCAACTTTTATCAGGTAGAGGTATTGTCTTACTTTCTCAAACATTAATAAGCAGGGTTAATATGTCAGTGAGAAAATTTCCTTTGTGGCAGTTCTGTAATTGAATTTCACTGCTCATCTTCAACAGTAGAATAAACTGGAAGTCTGTTAGTTTATCTGAGAAGTCCTAGCACATGTAAACTCCAAGTGAAATAATTGTCTAGCTAGTGCATGCTTCATGTTTGAAATATGCACGGTATTTTTAATGTGAAATGTGGTGATGCTTTTTATACATTAACAACTTCATGACTAAGTATTTTTTTTTAATGCAAAGCAGAACATGAGCTTCTTATATTGAATAATTTGTCATCTTATTTGACTGATTTAAAGTTGATCACTTTGCACATGCCCTTGAGATAGAGCTGCAGGAAAGTGAAATATCTAAACAATTCCTTAAACTGTAGACCCTAGGAAGGCTGCTTTCCTCCCAAGGGCAGGAGCAATGCGTGTGTCAGTCCGTGTCTGCTCTGTGATCCTTAGTGTATGGACTGGGCAGCAGAGCAGTTCCTTTCTCCCTGCATCTCTTTCTACCGGGCCACTTGCTTACACAGAACTCCTTTGGTACTTGGCACTTTTAGCACTTTTTATTGCTGTCAAATTCAGTTGAAATGAAGTCAAATATTCCAAAGAGAAAAGTGCTGTACCGAGAGATCCATATTAACATAAATTCCTTACTAAAAAAGGCTAGGCTAGGAACACATGTCCAACTACTCTCCCACCCCCTGCTTTCATATTTGTACCTGAGGTCTGCTGTCAGTTAAGGCTGTGTACTGGATATTAGAATACTCCCCCAATTCGCCTTTTAGGTTTAGGAATGTGCATACACTCCTTGCCCACTTGAGATGTGTGTGTAAAATTACAATCGAACTCTGAAAACACGGTCTCACATCTAAGATGGTGTATCAGGCCTGCAGCTGCAAGTAATTGCATTCTGCACAGTTGACAACAGGAGTTGAGAATCAGAAGTCTTTTTCCCTCAAAACACAGAAGAAATATGGGTAGTCATTGAAAAAAACTCATTTATTCTGAATGGTTTGCTGATGGACATAAAATGAAACAACAGTTAGAGTAAGTGGAAGAATTCATTTGATTTTTCCCATATTCTTAGGAGTGTGGCTTCACTGAACCAGACTTAAGAGGAAAATGCCCTGTAGATTGAATTATTCTCTGATTGATTGATGCATTGATCCTGTTTCTCTTTCAGATGAAGTGGACTACAGTAATTTTGGGACCAACACACTATCAAGGAAGAAGAAGGCCTTGGTGACGCTCCGCAATGACAACCTCCGCCGGCGTCCTCACATTAACATTAGCATGCCTCACGATTTTAGACCAGTGTCTTCCATAATCGACGTGGACATCCTTCCCGAAACACACAGGAGGGTAAGGCTGTATCGACATGGGTGTGAGAAACCCTTGGGATTTTACATTCGCGACGGCACCAGCGTAAGGGTTACTCCTCATGGACTAGAAAAAGTACCCGGCATCTTCATCTCTCGTATGGTTCCTGGGGGCTTAGCGGAGAGCACAGGCTTGCTGGCTGTGAATGATGAAGTCCTGGAAGTCAATGGCATTGAAGTAGCAGGAAAAACCCTTGACCAAGTCACAGACATGATGATTGCCAACAGCCATAATCTTATTATCACGGTCAAGCCAGCAAACCAGAGGAACAATATTATTCGAAGCAGCAGGATGTCTGGTAGCTCTGGGCAGTCTACAGACAGCACTGCCAGTCACCACAGCTTGCCTACATCCCACGTGCTGCAGAACTTCCACCCTGACGAAATGGAGAGTGACGAAGAGGCTGACATTGTCATCGAGGGCGGTCTGGAGCCACAGCACATTCCTAAACTGCACAGCCTGACTTCTAGTAGCCTCTCTCGAATCAATGGCAGCAGCCTCAGCCACAGACTTCAAAGGGACCTGGTGCTCAACAACAACTCTGGCCGAGAAAGCAACGGCAACATCCACAAATTACTCAGCTCCTTAAAAACTGATCCCCGACACAGCCTGGTTATCCCCAGAGGAGGTATCGAGGAGGATGGAACAGTCATTACACTTTAGTAGCCATTCCCACAACTCTCCTTTCAGTTTTAAGTGCCAATTGGGACAATTGACCTTGCAACATGTTATGCACAAAACAGAGAGCTGATATTCTCATAGACCTCACGGGTGCAGAAATTTGTTGCTTTCTAGGAAATGTGGCATCTGGAGTCAGACATAAAACTGACACACACTGCAAAATGTCAGGAGAAAGCCAGAGTGTGAAACCTGGTTTATGTCTCCACCCTAAAGTGAGAACACAAATCTGTTGTAGTTGGTATAAATCTAAGCAGTCTCATGGGCTGCCAATGGCAGTGCTACATACTGGGCTTTGAATGCATGGGTGGATGTATTTATACATGCATGTATATGAATTAGATTTTAATAATAACAGACATGTCTATTTGAAGTGGATTCTGGTTTTCTTCTAATGCCACTTTAAAGAGAGTGCTTCTTAATAGCCATCCCATCTTCTACCATTACATACAGACCTTCCACTAACTTGTTTACACCATATTTGCAACCTTATGTCTCATCCAGACACGCTCTGTAAAAGTAGCGGTTTCCTACTCTGGTGGTAACAACGTTAGCAAGATGCTGCAAATATATTTTTACAATGAAACTATATATATGTATTTTGAAAGCCTGAGGCGGCGATGTTAGTGTTACTGCTGTGAGATGAGCACCACCCGCTGGTCAGAGGCAGGCCTGCCTGTGGCACAGACCTGTGCTGCGCAGGGGAAGAAAAACGTGACAATAAGGGCTTAAAACTGGGGTCAGCACCATTATGTGTAAATGTATGCTTTTTCGATATTTATTAGATAATACCTCTTTTTCAAATTCTGTTTTTTTTCCCCATCATCTCTGTTTTTTCAGAATCATGGTTCATGTGAATTTTAGGGATGCAAGCAAGAAGGCAACAACAGTGGGAGAGCGTGGTAGGACTGTCCCCTTCACCTCAGAGCTGACACAGGTCCTTGCTGTACATTTGGGGTGACCTAAGTCCACAAGGCCTTTCCTTACTAAAGATTGGCTGATTGCTATTCAGAGGAGAGATGCTGACCCACTGTCAAACCTAACTTAGAACAGTTCAGTTATTTTTGGTCTCTTCTAGTAATCATAAAGCTTAATGTCTACACAGGAGTTCTCGCAACTTAAAATATACTGGATGTTTGCCATGGTCAGACACCTTTACTGGATGCTGGCTAGCGGGTCACCAGTGACTGTTGAGTTGATAACTGCTTCTGAAAATGCCATGAATTTATGAAAGTGGTCTAATCTAAAGTATTTTGTTATATCTTGATCAGTGTAAGGAACAAAATACAAATGTTTTACAATGTATTTTTCTACTTTTAGCTTGTGTCATTTTCTTTTTGTTTTTAACTTTGTAGTACATTAAAGCTTTTTTATATGGTGGAGTAGACATTTCTTAAATATTGTATGGACATGAAAATTCAGAAGTCTTGGTTTGAAAAAAAAATTACATTCCATTTTGGAATCTGTAATGGTTGGACTAAGGATGCGCAGACTAATTCCTTGTCGCTAATGTAAAATACCTGTGGAACAACCAGTCTTCTGCTCATTGTTAAATATGTTTGGGACATTGAACTTAGTTTATTTCTTTTAGTTTTCTTTAAAAGTTTATTTTAAAATTCTTTCACTTATTCTAATTAAACCTCTTCCAGGTATCACAGCAGTTATAGAGCTGTACTTATTTTTCCCAGCACAGTAAGAATAGAACATTGATCCTGTTCGTCTTAAAACTGTGTGTGTACTTTACCAAAGGTTTTCATTTTTAAAAAAATCTGATTATTGGTGCAGTTTAAAAAAAATAAAACTTATTAGCTGGATATGCTTTAGTCAGACCGACCACCTTATCAGGAAACTTGTTACACCTCAAATAAGACTACTTTTATGAATAAGTGGATTTGTCTGGCTGAAGTTACTCATTTTACCTTATTTATCTGATGAAAATGTGACCTGTCTGCAATAAAATGTGCACTGTCTTGCTTCTATGCCATATCTTTTCCCCTACAATCAAGCACATCTCTGTGTGGAAGTATTTCTCTTCCTTGTGGAAACAAGGGACTCTGTTTTGATGAATCTGCAAATACATAACCATTTTAGTAGTGCTTTTCTCTGTAGCAGTGCAGGTTTTGATTCCTCCAGTGGGTGCCTATACTGTGCTTCTTCCCAGTACTGCTTTCACTAAAGGGCAGTGTTACACCAATTCCCATGGGCACCAAGACATTTGCTGTGCTAATCCTAGCAAGGCTTGCTTCAAACTTCTTGGCTTGGAGGACTTTTGGTAGTTCTGGCCCCTCAGAAAAAGCCCAGGATACCTCAGGTTTGTGATACGGTGCCACACTGCACACCTGTGCCCAGAGACTGCTCACTCTGTCCAAATACAGGGGGTTAGTACAAAATACCCAAACTCTCCCAGCTAATCCATCCCAGGACCTAGGGAACGTAAGCTGCATTTCACACATGAGCGTGAAAGTATTTAACTTCAGTCACACGCTGGGAACTGTACATCTATACTTGATGTATCGGCTTTAGAGCTAACACATTGTGAAACAACTTTTAAGGCTTACAAACATTTTGTGCTCATTTCCATCAAGTAGGAAAAAGAAAAGCTGCTATTTTTGCATGCACCGTATCGATAGCTGAAGTTGTCTTACACCACTTGTCTTATGAAGGTGAACCCTTTCCCCTGTTCAGGTGTTCCGGGGTGCAAACAAGGCCAAGGGGTTTGAGTTTTGCTCATCGAGGCCCCTTGGGGTATGGGGTTAAACTGTTGAACAGGTCTTCAAAAGCGGGCGGCTGCGGGGGCGCTGGCTCTCTGTGGAGGACAAACCCTCCATAAACGCCCTGTTCTCCCCGAGTACACGGTAGGGAGGTACCGAGGGCAAGCTTGGAGGCGACAGCACCGGGCTCCCTCTCCGGGACCGGTGAGAAGCAGCGGCCGCTGCGGGACCTGTGGAGCCCCTTAAGCGTCCACCGCCGGACGCGAGGACGGCACCTCCGTGCCCAGACACCACCGATGCTTCCACCCTCCCGATCCCGTATCAGCCTCCTCCCCGAGTACACGGTAGGGAGGTACCGAGGGCAAGCTTGGAGGCGACAGCACCGGGCTCCCTCTCCGGGACCGGTGAGAAGCAGCGGCCGCTGCGGGACCTGTGGAGCCCCTTAAGCGTCCACCGCCGGACGCGAGGACGGCACCTCCGTGCCCAGACACCACCGATGCTTCCACCCTCCCGATCCCGTATCAGCCTCCTCCCCACTCTGAGGCCTCATGGCTGGGCTGTTCCCAGCCCCGC